TTAATTTGTGCAATTTTGCCACTTAATGGATCAGAAATTCAAAACATCCAGTATTGAGGATTTGTAGGCATAACTTCAGGTTGACTTGAAAATAGAAAACATAAAATTTTGTCCTTTATATTACCGAGACAATTGGACGAAAAATTTAGGTAGCAGTTAGGTATTTATGATTGATTTATTTAACATATTGGGTAGGCTGGAATCTAATACTTTAAAATGGAAAACATCGCATGAAATAATTCGGTTTTGCTATGAAGTCAACAATTGCATATCATCATTTATTACCCATTCTCTATTTCTCTTGCATTTTTTATTCTTTATCTCATTTGTCAAAATTCTTCTTTAAGTGCAAATAAAATAAAGCTAGGTCTCAATGAGAAATGTAAAAACTAAAAACCGAGATTAATTATTTCTCCACACCATTCAAATTTAAATCTTTTACCACGATACCAAAGTAAAATTGTACCCTAAACATTATATGGTATTCTATTATAGTACCTTATTGCTTAGATTAGTAAGGTAAGAAATGGTTCCCTTTTTCATAAGTGTAAGACTTAGTAAATTCTCAAAATCATTTTAAGGCGGATGAGAAATTAATTCTAAGTTGTATATGAGGGTATTATAAATTTGAAGCTATTGAGTTTAATTCAAATTATTGAATTCACGAAATATTATGTCTTTGACGAATGTTGGGATAATTCAAACGAGACTTGATCATCCAACTTGCATGCTATAATTATCAGTGTTCGCCTAAACGGCCGTTTAGACCGTTTACACGCTGTTTAAACGGTAAACGGCGCTATGGTGTGCAGTTTAGCGGATAAACGGTAATTAAACGGGCTAGCCGTGTAGACGGAAAAAAACCGTGTAAAATGTGCAAACGGGACGGTATTAAACGGTATTAAACGGCCTAAACGGCCGTTTAGGCCGTTTACACGGTCCGTTTTGGAAATAGAAGCGGTTGGGCGGGAGAACAAAAAATTGATCCGTTTTGTGAGAACTATATATGCGTGCAGTGTGTTACTAACTGTTGTGTTGTAAGATGAACACCTGTGATGTTGACTGTTGTGATGTTATCTGCAATTTGCGTATGGGCTATGACTATGTCATTGACTCATAAGTCATAATATTAATACTAATGTAGTTAAAAACGTGTAATTCGTTTAATCCCGTGTACACGCCGTGTACACCGTCTAAACACTACACGTGCCCTCGCCGACTGTTTACCGTTTAGCGTTTAGGCTAACACTGATAATTATAGAATGATTCGTTTGGGGCGAGTAGAAAAAAAAAAAGACACAGAACTCAATCCGGAGGCGCACAGGCGTGCAGCTGGTCGCGGCCAGTGAAATGTCGCGACCCTTGGTGGCCATAAGGTGTCTTTTGATTTTCAAATGCATCCGTTTATGTTCAGTTACGTCCAAAAAGGTTTCTTTTGACAATTAAACCTCTTAAAGGTGTTTTTCTACATCTATAAGCACTTCAAATCATTCATAACTTGAAAATAAGAAAGATCTTCCACTCCTTTTCAAAGTTCATAAAACATATTGTATTCTCTGATTTTTTTCTTTGAATATTGAGAGTTTTAAACAATAGTATTGTTCGCCAAAAGCTTGTATTTTTTAAGTGTGTACCGCTATATACAAGTCAAAAGTCGTTGTATCTTGGAAGCGTTTGTCATTAACCGTGGGTATTTTACGGGGCAATTTTGGCTTAAGAACGTAACTATTACATACGTGCATCGACTTTAATTTCATTTTCGTTTTCTTCGTTGTCCTTAAGTCGTCTTCTTGATATTTACAAACCCACATAAACTACGACTAATTCTAATGAAATCAACTTTTTTGATCAGCGTCAAATTAATATCGGTGACTTGTAACCATACTCCCACATGTACATAATGAATTATTAATCAAACACATGCACACGATATATATATAAGACCTTGTTGATTTTGATAATCAATTTATTAAACAAATTAAGCTTGCAATATTATTAATATTGTAAAAAAAAAAAAAAGCAGACATTGATTAGATATGGCTGTCCAAGCAGCAGGTGGTCTCTACAATGGTATACCCAGGAAAAATTCAACATATAGTTAATGTATTTTCTTCAAAGGGGGGCCTCCATAACAGCTGGTGTTTGATGTCCACAAGTAAATATAAATAGCATACCTTTTGCTGGAATGAAAATTTATTAATTTTACTTGTATTACTCTTTTTTTTTTTTAATATAATTAGTTATCAACATTTTCTTGAAGGCAATCAATTAATTATGTTTCTTAATTTGTAAGATCACAATCTCTTGTTATGCAAATTAAATCTTAACAAAATACTAGAAATCGATACACATTGTTACGAAACACCAGAAGTTAACGATTAGGTTCGGAAAACTCGGCACATAAAAGATTAAGAATTTACACAAAAAATCTGCAGCAACTGTGTAGTCCATGTTTGCCAGTTGCGTGAAAGATGACCTTATTTGCTTGTCCTTTTTGGTCCAATGCAATAACTCATCAAGTTCAGTACTTTAAATGGTGATATTGTAAAATCTCATACTTAGAAAATAACATAAACAAGAATATGATATTTATAGTAAAAATATGTAATTTTGTTCAAATAATATGACGAATGGACTTGACTAAATGTTAGATTGTCTCACACAAAAGTTTACGAGATATTATGTGCGCACGTAAAAATTGTGAGTTTCGCAAAAGCAAATGATAAGAATACAATTACTACATACTAAATTTACACTTATCACATGAATTTAGTTAATTATAAAGATTTTTAAAGCAAAAGATGTCTACTTAATAGGCATCCATTTTTTTGAAAATATATATATATATATATATATATATATACTTACATTACATTATGGAATATCATGTTTTTATTTATATTATATTATCAAGTATGTATATTTGATGGAAGAGTACGACTGACTAATAATTATACAACCTAATAACGACCAACGGTTATTCGATACACACACTTGAAAATTAAATGTATATTCTTAAATATATATAAATATATGTATAAGTGATTATTGTACATAGATAAAGTTCATACCTTACACAAAATGAAATGTACAATCTCATATAGAAAGGCCCCAAAGACCTCCCTACATATGTTTGGCCATCTTTGGGCCATTTACATGAAAAAAGACATTCCCATACTTTCAACAATAAACCCAAAAAAAAAAAAAA